CTTCTTTATTTTCCCACTGCATTTAATAATAATCATGGTTTTTTGGTTTCACGGGAAAAAGCAGAAGGAAAAAAGGTATTGTGCACGAGAAACGAAAAAAGCGGTTGGAATTCAGTTTTTTGGTTTTTTCTTTATCCTTTTTTTTTTTTTCAAACAAACATCGCACTCTCTCACCTTTTCCCAACGCGCTACACCTTGGCGTCACGCGCTCTTGGGCTTTCCTCGGCCTCAAGATGTGTACCGTACATGTGGCACTGAGTTAGGCCCACGGCCCGACCCAACTTGGTTCTTAGTAAAAAGAATCCAGGTAGAGTAGTGTAAAAGAGATGGGGTGAAAGGACATGTGCGTAGCTAACGGTTAAAGTCATTAGTCAGTAGAAAATGTTCTGCTTCTGTGTTCGGTTTTGGACACTTCTTTAATATGCTCACACACACCCCTCTCTTCATGCACTTTTTTTGGTCGTGTCAACTTATCGTGGTTTCCTCTGCTTTTCGCTTTCTTTTTTCTGTTTAACATTTTCCCCTCACAACTCTAAACACACCGATGATGAATATATGTTATGTATTTTTGCTTTCAAAATCTGTTATTTTTATCATTTTCTACTTAGAAGTGAGGAACAAGTAGAATTGCAGGTTGCATGTAGCTGTTGCAACAAGCATCTTCGGAGTCTTTAAGTTTCAACTAACTCTCTGAACAAAAATATTTATTATACGAAAGAGAGAGACTTGTATGATTTATATATAACATATGTGAGCCTTTCTGTGTGGTGTGAGTCTTTCTGTGTGCGCCTCTGTAGCTGCTGTCGGTTTGTTGAATGAACATGTTAACAGAATACAAGATTTGGGTACAAACTCTCCAAGAATTTAAGAGCCAGATTTTATTGTCTATAGGATAAGACAAGTGAGTTAAGTCTATTAAATAGCCACTAGATCTTCTATGCTTGTATGCCATTCAATTTAAGGATAGCAGTTGTGTAGTGTATTACTGTAAAGATACAGTACTGTATACAAGAATCCTGTTGTTTCATATATTTATATGACAAGGAACGTTCAAACAGTTAAGTGTGTAGTGCACAGAGAAATTAATATGCTATTTTTATAGTATAAAATAACTCATATTTTCTCTTTGAATTAATAGTAGTTAGTTTTTGCTTGAGTTATTATATGTTTCCTTAAACATATAAATTAGAAACTTTTGCATAAAGCAATTAAATCAATGTCAAAGTTTTGATGTACTTGTTAGAATAACATGATTTCTATAGGGACAGACAAAATAGTTGTAAGCTATATATAGAACTAGTCCCTTGTTGTCCATTAAACACTTCATTGTTAATTAAGTAAGTAGTTAATCAGTTGACTTTCTAGGTGTACGTGACTGAAACATGCAGAACCCTTCATCATGTCTTTTCTTATACTGCATGAGGGTATTTACTGTTTAGCTAGCTTATACAGAATAGGAAGTTTACTCTTTTTTTCATTCTTAGACTTATATACTTCTACACTTTACTAAATTAACCAGGCCCAGTACAAGTGTACAACTCTCATAATTAATGTTTCACCGAACAAATTAAAATTTTGTCCATTTTTTCCTAGGATACTTATTTAACTAGTCACAAGTGTTTATTACAGAAAAATTATTAATGTTAGGAGTTAGATACCAATAGTTTTCTTTGGAATTGACCATTTTGTCGTACTAGGTGTCCATTACCTTATACTTCCCAGTTTCATAAGCTTCTTGGATCAACAGAGTGTTTAACCGACACGTGAACTCTCTTTGTCCTTTTTTATTAAATTAACTAATATTTCAAGTGTTTTTCTTGCTAGTTTTTATTTGTGTTCACACTTTTGACCTCAAAGTCAAGAGTCATTTTTTACCTTTTTTTTAACGAATAAAAAATATGTGTTTCTGGTTTATTGTTCTTACTTGTGTATTATTGATGTATACCATTATTGTCTACTCATTCTTTCCTTTCCTTGATGTTGCGTTGGTTTCTGATATATATATATATATATATATATATATATATATATATATATATATATATATATATATATATATATATATATTTTTTTTTTTTTTTTTTTTTTTTTTTCAAAAAGTTGTTCTCGAACCTGTGGTTAATTTTGTATGAGAGAACAGATTCACTAACTTTGATTTGTCACAGGGTTCAAACTGTTTTGCTGACCAACATGTTTTGTTTATTCTGAGATAGGGGTACAAGTCATGTCTGATAGAAAAGAAGGAAATATAGATAATAAATAAAGATAAAGTCTGTGGGCATGAGATGTTGTTAAACCACAGTATAAATGGATGTTTTAATTCATTCACTCACACATGGACTTTAGTTAGTCTATATATATATATATATATATATTAATACTTATCTAGAAGGTCTAAATATATTTAACTATAAAGGCTAATCTGTTTAGGTAAATTTTTTTGTTTTAATTTTTTATCTGGAAAGTAAAAGTCATATTTCAATTTTTGCCTCAATCTATTTGTCAATTCTGAGTAAAGCTAAATATTTGTTTATTCAATGGCAGGTAAAACATATATATTCTTTCAATGGAAACCTTTAACACTCCTATATGATCTGCGTTGATCTAAAGGAGCATTTTTCTTCAACAATTTATTTCACCTTGTTTAGTGCACTTGAAGAACAGACATATTTGTTGCAGTTTCACTTGTAGCTAGCATTTCCTTATGTATTCTTTTACATATATAAATATATCATATCTTGCTTTGATTCAACAAGTTTTTTTCCTGAGTTCACCTCAATCAGAAGGAACATGAGTATTGTTGTTACTGTTAATCTCACTGTGCAACCACTGTGTTATGTGAGACTGTCTGAAATATTATTAAATGATATAAGTTATGTATAGTCTAGTCATATTAGACCTTGATTAGATCAGTTTGAAGGGGATAGGGGTAGTTGAGTGGAACCAAAAGACTAACCAACACACTGATCAGTTACTCGTCTGATGTAGGCCTAAACTCCCAACTTTTTTTAACTTGTGTCATTGTCATCTGAGTCAGAATAGACTAATATCCTACCCTACTTTACTGTGGAAGTCTTTCAAACTTTGTTTTTGTATGGGGACAAGTAGTCAAATCTTGTATTTCGATAATATATTGCACTTTTGTTTTTTGTTTTTATTGTTTTCATGCATTTCTGCCTAAAAGACAGAAGAAGATTTTCACCGATAGAAAATGACCTCCATGTTGTGTATCTGCTTTATTCCTTAGTTACTTGGCCCACCGAAAACATTTGTTAGTTGATGGTTTGTCCAGAATGATTGAAAATTGTCTCAGAATATTTTTCCATATTAAAATTGTTCTTGAACTTTATCTGTGAAAACGACTTCCTAGATAAAACTATTTGAAACAGTTGAAGTATAGTCTTATTGAATTAACTATTAATTCATGATTTTGATCTATTCTCCTCCCTTTTCTTTATGTGGTTAGCTCAACCCACCATCTAATGTTGTTATATTATACCTTTCTTTTACTTTTAAGCTTTTTCGTTAGGATAGAAACATTAGCAGCCAAACACGTAACTAGTCCTCCCTGATAAAGCAATATATTTGTCATGATTTTGTTGGACGATTATATTAGTAAATAGCATGAACTATTTAAGTAGAGCATGATTATACCTTTGTTTTATATATTTTTAAAAGAATATGTTTCAATTATCTGATTTTTTTTAAAATTGAATATCCTTACATGTATTTTAATCTATGTCTTATTCCTCATATTTGATTGCTTATAAGGTTAACTAGAGTAATCTGACTTGATCAAGTAAAGTTAATATTGGAAATTATTAAATTAATTAAATCTATGTGTTTTTCATTTATATTTTATTAAATGGTAACTTTTGAAAATCGCACAGAAAGGCACTAGGTATTTTATAAGATTAAAAACTTGTTCTTCAGAAACTTCACAAACAGTTTACATATTTTTGTGTTTTTTTTTAATTAAAACATATTTTTTGCCTATTTTTCAATAACATTGCAAACACTATTTAACATAATTATCATCAGTTTGTTGACAGAATAAGATATTAAATAGAAGTTTTAAAAATGAGAAAAGATCAAATATGAAAAAAGATCAAATAAATATACCTAACTTCAGAATAGTGAAACTTTAAAGGTAGTTTTGAAAACATAACTTACAAAATTTATTTTTTTTAAATAAAAATATCTATTTCCTAAGAGTAAGTCAAAGTACAAATGAAAATCAACTTATACAAATCAGAAGATATTTTAGATTCATAATTCCTCCAAAAAGATCACTTAAATCTAATTTTCTTAAAATATAAAAGTGAAATTGTGTTTTCTTTTTATTATGTTACTACCCACAACATCTTTAGAAAAAACAATATGAAATATGAAATTTAGAACAAGGTTAAGGAAAAACGAAAAATAATAGATAATCTTTGTTGTAGGACATAAAATCAAACATCTTTCAGTGAAAAAACACTTAAACATGTCAGATATGTGGCTAACGCATAAGTTATTTGTTCTTGATTAGTGAATTATAGTTGGGCTTGGAGCCGATGACAGAATAAAGGCCGATTTCAAATTCTGTTTGCTCCATGTTTTTTTATAACTGATTATAACTTTCAAAATATAAATGATGGCATAATTTTTTGTTTATGTATAATTATTGATGTATTATCATATTAAGATTTTTCTGTTATTTATTTCTTCCATGATCCATAAAATTCATGTTATGAGGTAGAGTCATATGTTCATTATTTTATTTTCAGGATATTAGCGTTGAAAAGAATTACTGCTCCACATTTCAATTAAATATGAACTATATATTTCTTCTCCTTGTGACATTCAAGGTAAATCAAGACATGTTTTTTTTTTTACACTACCATTACTTTTAAACATAAGTTTTTGATGAAGCAATATAACTAGTCTTTTTTTTTTTTTCCTTAATTTGTGGTGTATATTAGATTATCAAGAGGAAGTTCACACAGCTACGACAGGTTATGGGGTTTCAAACATCACATGGCAGTAAAAGGATACCTCAACCAATTTTCAAAGCAAAGGAGGATCCAATTGATGCTAATGCAAACTCCTTCATTCAAAGGTCCACTCTGAATTTGATTGATCAAACCCAAACCAATACCAAGTTCATTTTGTCTAGCTATGATTCATGGGTGGTAAGTACCAACCCAGTAAAACATAAAGTGGGTTATTTACTTAATTTCTGAATTAAACTATTATCAATTTTTAAAAGATTCAATGAACATTCACACCCAGAAAAATCCACCTTCCCTTACACAACTACAAAAAAAAAAGTTGCAATTTTTACAAATAAAATAAAAAATAAAGATCATTTTCTTTCTTCTTCTTTTCACTAGACACTTGGGTACAATTTTCTTCTGTAAGTAAGAAAGAAACTACTAGCAGATAAATGTGTTGAGTGTGACAAATAGAACCAAACTCTCCCTCTCTCTATATATACTAGAACATTAAGCTCCACGAGGATGTTTGTGACAAGTGATGCATTGCTCCGTGTTATGTGATTAGTCTTCTGTTTGTATGACTAGGTAACACACCCTTCGGCATTAAACTTGTTTGAAAGATTGATGAAAGCAGCCATAGGGAAGAGGATCATCGTTTTCTTGGATTACGACGGCACCTTATCCCCAATTGTAAATGATCCTGATTGTGCTTTCATGTCTGATGAGGTAATTAACTATATTACGTGACCATTCCAGTAAAAGTCATATCAATCTTTCCTTTTTTTTGTCTGTAATAATCTTGTATAAATTCTAATTGATTGAAAGTGGTGTATAATGTAAATGACAGATGCGTGCGGTAGTAAATGAAGTTGCTACTTATTTTCCAACAGCAATAATTAGTGGAAGAAGCAGAAATAAGGTTAATTGATCAATCATTCAATTTCATACTGTGTCAGAGTTCTAATTCTATGTCTTTATTTTTTATTTTTCTCCTTATTCTATGGATCAGGTCAAAGATTTTGTGAAGTTAAATAATTTATATTATGCTGGGAGCCATGGCATGGATATAATGGCACCATCAATGCCTGTTAGATCTTCTAAAGGCAAGCATATTGACATTGCCCTTAACACAAATGTGAGTAACTCTACTATAGTTATTCTGTTTAATCCTTTTAAGAATCAAATATTTATTGAAGTAAAACTTCATTGTGTTAAAAGAAAAAGAAAAAAAGTTATGTTATATTGACACTACTCAGTCTTAGTATTGTCTTAGATTAAATGTCTCTTGAATAGTTAATGTAAGTATTTTAATTTTCAGGGCACTGAAGTTCCCTTCCAACCTGCCAAGAAGTTTTTGCCAGCTATCCGAGAGGTAAGTAAACTGACTTAAAGTCATTTCATGGTTTTGTTCTGTAGTCTTGCCATCTTTTTCATTTCATGCAGTAATTGGTTAAAGAAAACAATATACTGTCAAAGCTATCCTTTAAAAGAAAAAAACAAGATGAGGGTTTGGAGTATATATAGTGTAAACTACGTCAAAGTTACTCGAGAATGTTTTGCAAGTTAGAGGTCAAATTCAACTGTAAGTATGGTATGAAACTGAATGTTTGTGCTAACAGATATTAAGAATACTAAAGAATGAAGTAATGGGAATAAAAGGAGCAATGGTTGAGGACAATGGATTCTGTGTCTCTGTACACTTTCGGCAGGTCCAAGAAAAGGTAACCTTAGTTTCTAAGTTTTTTTTCTTATGACATTTCTCTTTTCCTCAATCATTAACAGTATTTAGTAAGCAATTTTTTTTTTATTCAAAAAATATTTGAATCCAGGATTATGGCGCTTTGGAAGAGAAAGTGAAGTCTGTGCTTGAAAATCATCCAGAATTTTGCTTAACAGAGGGTAAAAAGGTATCCATATTCTAAATGCATTTTAACTCTACCCCTTTCCTGATTTAATTCTGTTGCTTTTCTATCTGTAATGAACAAAAAAACTGAATACTGTTTATTTGTAGGTTATGGAAATAAGGCCATCTATAAAGTGGAACAAAGGAAATGCTGTACAATATTTTCTTGACACATTAGGATTAAGCAGTTGCAATGACATCCTTCCTGTGTATATTGGCGATGATAGAACTGATGAAGATGCTTTTAAGGTATAGGCTTACTCTACATAATAGTTGCATTACAACATAATAGCTAATAGAAATTTATATTTTCTCCATACCAGGAGTAAATGTCAGTTTAAAAGCATACATCGATTTCCATTCTTTTTTTTCTTTCTCCCGAATTTAATGTTACAGTTTGATTTTTATAAAAACAAATCTCTCTTTCTTAATTGGTAATAACTTTTTTCATAGTTGATAATGTATCTAGTGTCTTACCTTCATTAAAATGATATGGAATCATGGATTTGTATAAATGCATGCAATATATAATGGGTTTCTTGGTTTGTCATACGGAAGTTATTTATAAGAGGAAGTGTTGTGAATGACCGAGTACGTTGCACAAAAGAAATTATTACCTCTAGCAGAATATTTTCTTACACATTATGCAGAGTTGATAATTACAGGGTTTTTGTGAAATTTCTGCAGGTCATACAGAGTAGAGAACAAGGTTATCCAATTATAGTGTCTTCAATTCCAAGAGAAACTAATGCTTTGTACTCTTTGCGTGACCCATCAGAAGTACTAATCTTTTTGTCACGGTTGGCAAAATGGACGAAAACCGCTTACTAAATCAGGCCTTTAAATTTTGGTTAAGGCATAGATCACATCAGAGGAGTACTTTTGCAGTGCACATAGTTTCTTCCCACGATGGTATTGAAGAAGTGGGATGATTGTTAATTTCTTTTCAAGTAGTTGGTTTGTAAAATAACCACTATGTATATTACCAGCTTGTAAAAAGGTTTCAAGATATAATAACTTCTCATCTTTTGACATCTAAGACATTAATGATAACATTTTAAAGGCAGGATTATATTGTCTATGTAATAATTTTCATAACATTTTAACAAGGAATAAATTGTCTACTAAGTAATTTTCATACTAAAAGAGACTCCTCCGACAATGGGGATGGTAAATTGATGATAACACTTTCTTCTTAACTACTTGAATCCCTGTCCTCATAGAATGACACACATGTAGGGAGAACATATGAGTATTCTCACTGTTATCACACTGTCTTCCTTTGTATAAATGGTTCACTTTTTTCAAGCTTCATCCTTGTAGGGGTGGCAAACAAAAATGAAAAATATTTCTGGCTAAGCATGAAATTATCATCTCCTGTTAGTGGTCGAGTTTCTCTCTTGTCTAACCCTGTTGAATACAAAAAATCATCATAAATGATCACACAAAAATTTGATAAGATGCTAGTTCTAAACATCTATACATCTATAACTGATTAATCAGTCACAATCCACAGTCTTCTGATCCTAACCAACATTTGCTGGCTATAACCTATAATCACGTGGTATATTGTTTCGTTCTATCTTCCCTTATATGTGTATATATAATGTAAATCATCACAAAAGCTTGTTGGACAGTACTGGTGGATAGGTAAATCTAATCTGCAACTAAAATATCACCATAAAAAAGTGAATGGACATGGAGGTCAAGATACGGATGCAGATTGGACAAAGTATCAATTCATGCCCATCAATGAGAATATGTTTAAGAAAAATAAACTTAAGATCACAGCCTAAAACTACGCAAAATAATTTATTTGATTAAGCTGATCAAGCACATGGTAAACCAAGTTACTGGGGATATACAAGCTTGAATTTTGTATCCAATCGTTTTCTCTCTCTCTCTCTCTCTATATATAATACTGGCTATGAAATGAAACATATATGCACTACAGGGGAAGGAGAGAAAAGGAAATAAAGTGAAACAATAAAAGCATTACCAAATGTATTTTGATGATGAGGACTCATGTGTAGAAGTACTTTTAGAATCTCTTCCAGATTTTTCCACCTCACTAGTACCACTGTATGAGCTTTCAACTCGATGGGATGATTCACTTGAACCTGAGAAATGGTCCAAGAGAACCAAACACAAGCTACCCATTTATGACCTATATTTTTTATCTTATGGATACATGGTAAAAGTTGATGGAGAAAAGATTGTAATAACAACAAATCTCAGTAGAACAGAGCATTGGTGATGGACGAAAGAACCACCTACCTGAATTCTCAAATTTGCTGTACGCCTGGCCACAGCCGGGAAACCTTCCGTTTGAATTCAAATGCAAATTTTCGTCCCTTTCGCCATGGTTGTCCTTCTTTTCATATTTGAGATTTTCGATGTAACGACTTAGGGGAAGACGCTTTTTCTTGCAAAACTTTTGCTGAAACTTCAACATGAAAAGCGTATTATGCTCCATAAAATATTTTAAGAGAAAACTGACAAGGAAGGTTTTCCCCATCAAGACACAACACAACCTATTGGACGTGACTACACTTTCACACTAAATAATAGCACATAACTGAAAGGGTGCTATAGATATTAACCTGGTAATAACTTGAAGGATTTGCCTTTGGAAAGTAAGTCCCAGTCCCATCACTAGTTCTTGGAAGCCAAAAACCAACACGTTCATTCATATCCCCAAGCAAGGGAGAAGCATCTCCAGATGGCATCACAGGAATAGGGGTTTGAACACGCTTCATGATGTTCATGATACCTTGTTGAGGTTTCCTATGCCATGCAAATTGTGCCCTTAAATTCATTGGCAGTTTACTAGAGGGAGACAGAACTTCCTTTGACTTTTTATTCTTACAATACCTTCCATATTGCAGATTCAACCAATAGCTTGAAAAATTACCATCCAGTATATCATAACCTTCATTCTCAAAGTACCCTGAAGTTGCTACTGCGTCATGACTTGCATAGTTAACATGTTGAGCAAAATCCGAACTGAAACTTGACTCTGGTGGATAAAGATAACCTAAACCAGCATGCATCATGCCCACATCATTGGTGGCTGCAATAGGACGATTGTAGAATGGGAACATGGTAGGAACTGCAACTAGTTGAAAACTTTGGTCATCAACGGTTCTCTGACTCGAACTAGGAGGATCAACAAGAACAGGAGTATAATCAGGAACTGGTGAGTTAGGCACAGTCTTTGACAGTTTGCTACCGAATTGAGGAGCTTGACAATATGAATTGATTGCTTCGGTACTTATGTTCTCACGCAAGTCATGATCAATGCCTATTGTTGATTGACCAACCCAATTTTCATTCTCACCACCAGGTGGAGAAGACTTACAAGATGATCCAGTTTCTCTACAATTCACATCCTTATTTACGATTCTGCTGTCGGGTGGATTTTCACCACATTTTTGCTTAGTGGTTACCACATAATCTTTTGGTGTGTGATGATCTGAATGAGGTGGTGCTAACACGCTATAATGAAATGGTGCAGTATATTCTCCCTCATAGGGTGATCTCGGAACCGGAAACCATTCTGATGGAAATGGAGCTGAGTCGTGAGAGTAAGGCATATTGTGGCCTGGAAAGTACTCAAAAGAAGGGGCATCTTCTCGAAACACCCCAAATGAGTTTCCATGCATGTATCCAGAAGCTAAAACACGGGGTGGTCGGAAAGACACATCACATGAATTCACATTCACTAGTGCTGGCAGATATTCATCGAAATAAGAAAAACCAAACTCCTGTTGCGTCATCATTGCCTCATCAACAGGAAAGACATTTTCATCATTGACACCTAAGCCATATTCACAATAATAACCACTTGAAGTGTTTTCTGGGTTATCTTCACATTCATATGAGATCTGCACAAAAGGTTGATGTTTTTCAGATGAAATTCTGGTCTTGTAGTAATGATGAGTTGAAGGTTCACTACACAAATGACCAAATTCTGAACTATAATAAAACCCAGGAAAGTATCGCGTGTCATGAACTCCATATGATGAAGATACAGGACGTTGGCCTCCATCAGCAAGAGCATTGTTCATGGTATTTGTATGGTCTATATCAAAGGCCATTTTATCAGTAGAAATGTTGTTATTCCTTAAGCTCCAAGTTTGAGAAGCAGCAAATTCATCAGAGCTTCCTAACATTTGCTTCGATTCTTCTGAATGGTTAGAAGGATTTTGGTAAATACTATGAGAACCATGATGTACACGACTAGTTGTAACACTTTTGTTCCTTAGGTGAAGATTACAAGTGAGTTTATCGATCCAGTTACCTTTACCGTTTCTCTCCCATGTATTCTTAAAAAATAAATCAATTTCAGCTATGACATTATCTTCTGGGCAAGCCAGTAACCTCTGTATTCGCTTTGCACCTAAAGCAATAGCACTTTTTATCCTACTCAAGTTTCCTGCAAAGTATATTATATACCAAACAATCATGTTAGAGACTTATTTTTAAATAGAAGAAATTCAAATGAAACAGAGGATTATTTTTATTTTTTTTTAAAGAAAGCCTGAATGTAATAAAGCTATTATAATATATATATATATATAGGTGAATCGAAGAGATAGAAATCAACTATCCATTCCTATCCTTCTGATAAAAAGTTATCACATCATTTAATTAATTATCATAATAGCAATAATAGTTAAATTTAATTGGTCCATTAATTAAATTTAATGATGTGACCATTTTTTTATTGAAAAATATGAATAAAGATAAGATTTGGAAGTGATTTCTATCTAGACTGAAAAGCTTCTAAAATAATACATATCTGTTTTAGCTCTAAACATATGGGTGATTTTTAGAAATCAGATATAGGTTTTGGTTGATTAAATTTCTCCAAAAATATTTTTAGAAAATGTAAAAGAAAAAATAAAATATTTTTACATGTTAAAACTAACTTATATCTAGTTAAATATTTAATTTTGAAAAAATCAGTATGAGTTTTTTTTTAATATAAATTTATTGTATTTTTTCTTCTCAACATTAACATTAGCATTCAAAATGCTCTTACATACAACATTAACATTAAAAGGGAATCTGGAATTTTCCCTAACGTGTAAAATTTTGTTCATCATAATCTAAATCCAAGTGTGTGTATATATATAAGTCAAAATACATCACATTTTAAAGGAAAAATGATTTTCAAGAATATATTGTAGAAATACAAATCATTCACCTTCTATATTTAGGGAGCAAATAAACATTCATTTTTCTTTCTCCTTGCAAAAGAAACATATCTTGAGAAAAAAAAATTGTTCCGGCCAGGTTTAAAAAGTTAAATTACGTACCTTTATTAATGCTTCCTCCTAGGTTGTTATTAGCAAGCAAAGGATCTACAATATTCATGTATTTAGAGACAAATGGTTTCTCGTTTAATTCTTTGCTGCTACACAGAACACCATAGTTGAATTCACAGGCAGTAAGAAACTGTTGGGTCAGCAACAACTTTCCGCAGTTATTACGAGGAGGTTCAGCTATCATAATTTTAAATTCAAGAAGATGGAAAAAGGGTAATGAGTCATAATGCATAGAACATGTTAATTAACTAAAATATGATAAACAGAAGAATTATTTTATTTGTCACGTACCTTCCATATTCGGAAGTGACCTTATAGGCACTGGACCTCTCAAGCTAATGCAATACTTGCTCCAGTCAAATTTGCTGAAGAAATCCAAAAATCGAAAAAGCACCTAAGATCATGCACCAGTAATAGGGTTACAATAGCATAAGTTTTCTGTTTTCTTTTATCGTGAAGCCAAAACAGAAAATCACACCAAAGCAAACAAGTTTGTCACCTCAAGTGGTCCAGAAAATGTATTACTGTAAACATGAAAGACATATATGACTAAAGTTTCCAATGCATAGGTTGAAATGAGCCCATGGTGAGATCCCAGGATGCGGCTTTCATAGAAACACCATGCTTTTATCAATATAATACTTCTTTTCAATAAATGATTCTGATGTATCAAATTGTCTACCTAGAACACAAAATTACTTGTTAGAGATCTTTGCAAAAATTGAGTAAATGAAAGAATAATAAGAGAACTTGGGTCAGAAATCACCTCCTCAATAAAACAAAGTGTACCCAAACCACTAATCTGGTTGAAAGATATGTCAACTACAAAGTTTTCGACTAAACACTTTATGATCTTCACCTGCCATTAAAGAATACAGGAGAAGAATGGTGACAAAACAATTGTTAGACTATCTTTTCTCTTATATATAGTATTGCCATGATGTCAATGAATTTAATAACATGCACACATGTTACCAAAAAAATAAGAAGCACGTACCTTTGCACGGATATACTGAACCTCTTTCACGTGAAATTGAGCCTCCTCATTCTTCTGTTCTCTCTCTAAAATACGCTGTATATCTTGGATCAGACTGTCTTCCAAATGTTGATCCTCACAGAAGGCTGTTAGATCAATGTCCCCATCAGGTAAATAGGTCTTCAACGGTACGGAACCAAATGGAAATACCTGTGGCAGTGGTACCAAAGGAGCACATCATTTTACATAAGACAGGATAATCTTCTGAGGTTAAGATTCTTCTCTTTCGTACTTTCCTTCCATAAGTGTTCAGGAGAGGGATAAACAACCTTAAAACAACATAAAGATGATTGAAAGACCATGAACTTCCACAAGTTTTGTTTTATACTACGTGATGGTGATGCATTTATGTCAACTTAAGACTGCACCGTATTTTCACTTTGGCCTTGCGATAATAAAGCTTGTATTTGCTGAAAAAAAAATATATATACATGGACGCAAAAAGGAGGAGAGAATGTTGGGGACTCGAGGGAACTAACGGGTATTCATGAATGGAATAATTAAGTAATCATATACAATTTTATCTCAAAATCCTAAATCAACTTTACGAACTCTACTAAGTATAAAACTTTAACTCACATATGTAGAAATTGCATATAAAATTTTCATTATACCATCTACTAGTGAGATGAAATATCAGAGGGTATCAAACCTCATACAATTTAAAGATATAATAAAATTGTAATGCATAGATAAAATACAAATTCTACCATACAAAATTTTTAAATTAAGTTAGCTATGTTTTTAATAAATAAAAAAAATTAAGTAACATAAATAAAAAATATCTACAAACAAAAAAAAATATTTTTTTATAAACAAATTAAAAAGAACATTTTAATATCTTGTATTGGATGTCAAATCATATTCTAGGAAAATTGTTAAGTTTTAGTCTAAGATAATAATTGGAAAAAAAGTTAGGTGTGAGTCTCTGTTAAGATTTTGACATAAAATTAATTAAATTGGTAATACGTAGAGTAGTTCTTAAATCATATCATATTGACGTGTTACTTCTAATACAAATTAATAAGAATATTTTAATAGATAGTTAGATATGAGATAACAAATTAAAAAATAATTATGATTTATTTAATAAAATCTTTTAGGGTAATAAACAAAAGTAACATCAACTTGAAAAACAATGTTCTAAAATTTCTAAATAAACGAAAGTAGCATTAACTTGAAAAATAATGTTCTAAAACTACTAAATGTCTAGTAGAAAGTTTAACAATTCTAATAGAATAAGTTTAGATTCTATGATATGATAAGTGAAAAGAAAAAGTTTAATCTAAAAATCTTGATAAAATCTTTATCAAAAATATCGATAACTTTGACATAAATTGAATACATATAGAATAATAAATCAATAATTATTTTAATCTTAGTATCTTGAAATCTTAGATAAAACTTTAATAAAAAAATTAATATTTTTTTCTATTTGATCATTTATCGGATCATCAATTATAATAAAAATATTAAATACATAAATAATGGTAATCCTTCTTAAAAAATGAGTATTATCTACATGTATACCATATATCAAGTTGTCATAAATTCTTAATTTTAATGAATAAATCGTATATTTATTTTAAATCAAATTATATAATTATTTTTAAACAAACAAGTATATGCATGAAATGAGTGAAAAAAATCAATTTGATTAAGAGTTTTATTGAAATAAGTTTATATATATATATATATATATATATATATATATATATATATATATATATATATATATATATATATATTACGAAGTCGCACTCGTGTTACATTATCCTCCTAATTATTTAGTAGCATGGGTTTATTTAAAAGATTAATAATCATCAACTGTTAAATATGTTTAATAACCCCTTTCTTTTGATTATGCTTAACAATTGAACCCATTGACATAAAATTTCTTAATTATGAACAATGTAAAATAGTCTCAAAACAATAAATAAACTTAACCTCTATAGAAATATCAATCAAAGTGTTTAATACTGATAAGATAAAATTTCTCAAGCTATATACAACTACTGAAATCTGCATCGTAGTAATTTATCACCTTCAAATCATCAATTTATTATTCCTTAAAACCATCTAATTATCAATGCCTAGATGGTTTGATATCTTCTCCTAATTCTAACTACAAATGCAATGTAAAATTTAATGCAAATTTGAGTGTATATATATGAAATATTTTTGTGTGTTATGAATTATAAAGTCATTTTTTGATCACTGACTAAATTCAAGTTTATGAGTCATTTTATAAGGGGAGTCACACTTAGTAGGTCCATGTTCATATTAAACCTCCCTAAGTCTCCTAAGACAAATTTAAAATATTAAGATCTTAATGTCTATTGTATAAGATATTTGACTCATATCTTCCATGTTAAAATTCTTGAAACTATTTCAACTCATTTATCATTCGTCACATCCAAATAATATAAAGAAAACAAATTTTACTAGCTCTAACCTCTCTCACTTTTCATAATGATGAATAATGTGTTGATTATCTAACCTAAATCAAACAATTTTTTTTTTCACTCTTACTCAAAAAGTATCATACTTAATATCAGAAAGTTTCATTTATGAACAAATTTTAAAGTTCAAAATAATATGTTCATCATAATAATTTAATATTACGTACTAATGTCTTATAACCCATTCATCAATATATGGGTCAAAATTTTACTCGATTGGATTTGTTGCGAAATTTCAACAAAATCATCAAATTATCTTGTTAGACATAAATTAAAATTTATAATCTAATATATATTTTATTCTGATTAATCATATATACAATAAATGTAATAAATTATATTATATATATAATACATAATATTAATTGGAATTAATATTATTAATGCAACTTTATAAAATATATAATTTTACTTAATGAAAAATATTAATTACTACTCTCTAATTTAAAAAAAAATTATTACTAAACTTTTTTTATGGTTAAAAGTTTACAGTTATATTAAACATAAATAATAATAACATTACAAATATATATATATATATATATATATATATATATATATATATATAAACATAATATATATAATAAATTTATACCAGTTTGTCTGAAAAGAAAATGATTACAGTCCGATGGGTTATGTGCCTTAATATTAACAACTAGGAAAGTAAAATAAATTCTAAACTACATCAAACAATTTTTGAATTATTATGAATATTTCTAAAATCTAAACATAAAATATTAACTTAAGAACATCATCCATTCAGCTAGACATAAAACTTTCATGTAAATTTGGATAAAAAGTTGCTATGTAATATAATCAATCGTTTTGGATAAATGTTTTTCATTTAAACTTACTCAAATATTTCAATAAATTACTTTCTGTTTCACAACAAGCTACATTAATGAAGGTGAAAGGTACAAAAATATTTTCTAAACTGGTGGAATGATGGTAGCACTGTATTAGACAATGTTAATATAGGGCATGCCAAATTCCAAAGCTCAATCAATAATCTATATTTAACATAAGAATCTATAAGCTCAATAAATAAACGTGATGAATTCTTACTATGATACATGCAAAAAAGTAGCAGGGTCATACCAAAAATGTACACAAAAACTGAAAGAATTAACAAGGAAAATACCTGACAAGGGACACGCATAACGATGAGGGATCGCAGGTAAGATAGCACAGCATTTCGATGTGCTTCTGATGTCTGGTTGGGCTGAATCTGTGCAAGCAGCTCTCCAGTTCTACCTTCAGCTTGTGACCATCTTTTCTGGTCAACCAGCGTTGCAAACAAGGGTGCCTCACTAGAAACCAGACCGTTTGGAATAAAGTTGTTCTCACTATCCATGGCTCCACAGTTTCTGCTATTATGGACAAACAATGTCAAAAAGAATTTCCATCATATATGTCTCAAAATTTAACTTAGTTTAAGAAGCTACACAATGGGTATATGAAATTGTCATGCTCATTTTAAGAGATCAGGGTTTTTCCATTTCATGAAAGTTATCTCAACCAACACAAAGTGTGAAAGATTTACATATATGAAGTATCTGCTTATAACCTAGAATTTATATCACTATATTGTAATACATGAATGAAAGCATTTCACAAAATTACTCCAAGATTTTCTTCAGGTATTCTGTCATAAAAACGAAATTTAAAAACAAACAAATAAGTAATAACAAATGGAATAAAATAACATAGAGCATCTCCAAAGTGCTAATTTTTTGAACTTTTCATCAAAATAAAATAATTAAGCAGATGGGATCATTGAAGCCATTTGAAAACAACACAGTAACGCGTCAAGAAAATAAAATTCGTTTAGCGTTTTTAGGTTTCTGATCACAAAATTTTATACTGCTAGAAGAACTCGATCATTTTCAATTGATGCAGACACATGTGCATACACGTGCATGATCAATTTTGTTTTTCAATTCCCTTTGACAATCCAACACAGTCAAAATACAAACTTCGTCACGAACAAATAAAAACAAGAATTGAAAAAGCAAAAAACAACAGTTGAGGTTCGACCAAGAAGTTCAGAACAAGCAAGAAGAAAACGTGCACGTACAAAAAACCTGAGAAGTAGGAAAGAAGAGAGGACCGATCCGAAGTGATTCTGTGAGAAAAGAGTGAAAGGTGAGATTGTGAGTGTGAGAGAAGTACCGAAGAAATGGAAAAATGGTGACACAATTTGTAGCACCTTAACACAGGAAATGGCAAAAAGAGGGGTGAGTCTGGGTGACACAGAAAGAACAATTAAATACTTGTGTGTATTATTATTATTATTATTATGATTATTATTTCTTTCAAAATAAAAGCAAAAAGAGTTTCTTTATCCTTTTAATTTATTTTTCATGATGAATTTAATTTATATTCAGTTACCAGTTGACTTTTGTGTAAATGTACACATTAGGGCGTTGTTGAAATGATTTGGGATATGAATTTTTTGAAGTTATTATTAAATTTGATAACTTTTGAATAATTATGAATGTAAAAAATTTATAGTGTTGATACTTTTCTTAAAATTATTTCTCACACTCTTTATATAATAATTATTTGAATTTATTCAAAATCACAAGAAGATATTATTGTTAAATTACAAAAAATCGTAAAAATAAATCCTATCAAAATTTATAAATTTTTGATAAACTTTAATTAACAGTAAAGAATGTATTAAAAAAATATCACCAGCATTTTTGAAAGTTATAAGTATTAGAAATAATATTATATATATAATTATTAATTAAAATTCATTAAAAATTACTAATCATTAATTAAAGGAGCAAGATTAATTTAAGTGTGGTTTCTAATCTATGATACTTAATAATTGAGAATGTGTTGAAGATGTATTTTAAACATGTATTCCTAACTATTTAGAAAAAAGAAGTGTGCCATTAATTTATTTTGAATACTTTTCCATTTTTCACTATAATAATCATTTTTTTTTCACATTTTCATGTTATTTATTCTTGTCTTTATCATAATAATATTTATTATATACTTTTGTATACATTATTCTTATAAAAACAATTTCTTTCAGAAAAAAAGGTTAACAGCAAATTTGGAAAAATGGAAATTATTACTAAAAGAAGAAGAGGAAAGTTGAGCGTGTTTTTGGTTATATTTGAAAAATAAATAAATACGGCATCTTTTTCATATGATATATTTACTAATTTTTGAATTTGATACATCAACTTCAATAAGAATATTATTATCTATACTTATTTTCTTTATAACGCTCAAATTTAAAATTTTATAAAAAAAAATACTAATTTTTGAGGAATTTAATAAGAAAAGATATTTCTCAAATTAATGAGAGAATGAAAAAAAAATCTAATACATTATTAACTAGTTACAATTTTATAAAATTGTACATTCCTTATGTATTATCTTAGGTAGAGAAAAATTCTATCATTAATTCCTCCAAGGATTGATTCGTCTTCAAAATGTTAAAAAAATAAACTAAAAAAATAAAATTAGCAAAAGGTATTTGTCTTAACAAATTTTTGAGGATAAAACAAGTTTGATTAGTAATTGAACTTATAAACTTTGTAATAAAGAGTTATTTACCAAACTAATTGACTATTAGTCATTAGGTATTAAAATATATTGATATTATTGAACAAATTACTTACATGAATGTACTTATTTATGAATGACATAAATTAGTTAGTATATAAATATTTTTAAATTTACCTTATATAACCAATGTAGTTATTACAAAATAATTCATGTATAAAAATATTAATAACTATACTGCCTATTAAAATACATATTAAATCTTTATTAATCACTATTATTAGAACAAAAATAACCTACATATTATAGTAAATTTATGTAAATTGTACTTACATGAAATAATTTAAATATATATTAATTTATGTCAATTTTCATTTATAGAATAAAAATAAGAATAATTTACATATTAATATTTTATATTAATTATACAAAAGTTATTTATATTAATTTAATTTAAACTATATAGATTATATTACATAAAGTTAAAAAGTTTATATATTATAATTTCATATAATTTATAAATACATATAATTATAGTAAAAAATTATTATCTTGAATATATATATATATATATATATATATATATATATATATATATATATATATATATACACATTATGTTGTTTAACATATTATTCAATTCCAGTTATTTGTTTAGTGTTTTAACTTGTAGTGAATTTTTAAGAAGTTGTGAATTTAAATACCTTGTCAATTTACATCAACAATTTATTAAGAATTGTGATAATAGATAAATATCTTTTACTATCAAATTTATTGGAAATTTTTTTACTGACAAATATAAAAAAATATGGAAAGTCATGGTATATAGCTATTTATTAGTGATTTTAAAAAATTGAAAGTGGATTATGTTTTAATATATTTTATTATCTATATGAAATCCTTGCATTCCCTATATATTGAAAAAAAAAAAAAAAACTGACCTATCTCATTTACTAAAAAGATTAACTTAATTTTCTTTTTAAATAGAGATGTATTCTATTATATATTATATTATATATATTCTTCATCAAACAATTTAAAATAAAATAAAATGAAGTAAATAAGAAAATAAAATAAAAATGAGAATAATTTCTTTAAAATTTATTAAAAAAATTGTTGATAAATTAAGGTAAAAATATTAATACTTTCTTTAGGGTTAACTTGTATTTAAACTTTTTTTTATGACATTTTAACATTACATTAATCTTTTGTGAAAGAGGTGAGAAAACTTGAATTTTTTTTAATCATTTTTCTTATATTTTTCATGTCTTCTTTTTTAAGCCTAATTAAGAATAGTTAAGTGTTCTCAATCTTTTTTTTTTTTTAATTGGCGTGAATATCTTCTAATTACTTTGATTTTTATATTGTCAATAATGAGGTTTTAAATACAATTTATTTATCTTGAATATGAGTGAGTCTTATATTTTAGGTCATGAAATTTTTTTTTTCTATTGGTGATCTATTACATCATGTATGTATATTTAAACAATATATATCACTACCCTTTTATTTTATCGATTCAGGGAGACTAGTTGTTTTGGTTATTAATATACATCTCAAGCAAATTTAAATGTTTACTAATGTCATCGTTGTTTAGATTGAATTTCGATTGTAGAAAACAAGATTTAGATGATAAACAAACACTTTCTTTATAACAAAAATATAGAGGAAAATGATGAAACCTTTATATATCTTCAAAAGTGTCTGCTTAATGAGGTTTTGGTTGGAAAATAAATGTACAGCAAGTTAGAAGAAGCTCTTGACATCTTCGTGCAATTGGACCATGGATTTTGAATACGAAGGAATTAAGAGAAGTATTTAGCATAAAATGTATTGTATTTTCTCTCAAGATTATATTTGTGTGTTATAATATATATACTAATCACTTAGAACTAAGTTTACTATATCGTGGTCATTGGTGGTAATCTCATAAGAAGATTTTGTATTATTTTTGGTAGATTGCTCTAGGATAAAAAACTTAAATGTTGATATTAAGTAATTTTTGTAAGTTGGGAATTTAAAATTTAAAAAATATTTTTATTATTTCGTAGATTTTACTATTTTTATAGTAAAAATTTTGACAATTATTTATATGAAGATTTTGAAAATAATATATTCATCTTTAATATTAATTACAATAAATTTTCTCTTAGTAAAAGAGAAAATGGATACCTCCGACAAATGTTTGCCACCCGACAAATTATTGAAGCGTGCGATGGATAAAACAACCATCGGCTATTGTTTGCTTATCTTTCAAGGTTTTGTTGTGTCTCGAAATTCCTTTGGTGCATTATGATTTTTTTTAAATCATCTTCAACTATTTTCCAATTATCTTTGAATCTAAGAAGGACTTTCATCTAGAGACTTCAATTATCATAATGAATTACTTTTATCTTTCAAGGTTTTGTTGTGGCGACTGAAATTCCTCTCTGTGTTTTATGATTTTTTTAAAATCATTCTCAACTATCTCCCAATTATCTTTGAATCTAAGAATGACCTTCGTTTAGAGACTTTAATTATCATAATGAACTACTTTTATCTTTCATGGTTTTGTTGCGACGGCTGAAATTCCTTTGGTGCTTTATAGTTTTTAAAAATCATCTTCAACTATCTCCCAATTTGAATATAAGAATGACCTTTCTAGAAACTTCAATTATCATAATAAACTACTTTCGTCAATTGGGACAAAGTTACATTGTTTGTTAGACCGATCATTACTCTCTTCAAACTCTCTATCACATTCAAACTCTAACTCTTGATACTAATTTGATAACAAAGAAATTGATGATAGGGTGATCCTTTTGTTGACGGATACTCCTATTATACAAGCTCTCTATCACATTCAAACTCTAACTCTTGATACTAATTTGATAACAAAGAAATTGATGATAGGGTGATCCTTTTGTTGACGGATACTCCTATTATACCTATACTCTCTGAAGGATGAGAATCAACTATGTATCATCTATCGTAATAACGAACTTGCAAAATAAATATGTTTATCATAAGAAGGAGTTCATTGCTTTACCTTAATTGTTATTTGAACAAGTAAAGTTATAACTTAGTTCGAGTGGAAATAACATTTCTCTTCTGCATATCCATGAAGTTTTGAAAAATTCAACCAGAAATAGAGAAAGAGATAAAAATTTATCAAAGAAAGCACACTCCTTTGTATACATAAGAATTCCATTAATGGGAAGGGGTTGGTGAAAGCTTGAACCCAATTCCTACAATGGAGATATACATTTGTGTATTGATAAGATTGTTAACTATTTCTTGAAGTTCGATCTCTCCCTCGAATAAACTAACTATTAATTTATGTGTTGTGAAAATTGAATAATACAACTAGATATTTATAGGTTCAAAATAAGTTTTCTATTTTAACTCCTTGGATCCATAATATCATGCATTTTGCTTAAATATCTGCTTAAATAAAATATTTAAAATTAATATAAATATCTACTGAATCCAAAGAGATTGAGAAAATTGAATATTATTAAATTATGTGTTGTAAAAATTAAATGATATAACTGTATATTTATAGGTTCAAAATAAATTTTCTGTTTTAATTTCTTATATTTGTAATCCCAGATATTTTGTCTAAAATATCCAAAACAAACATAAATATATGCTAAATTCAAACTAACATAATATTTAATTTATCCAACAAACAAATTTTACATTGGATGGTTAAAAAGATGCAAGAACAAAGTGCACTAAGGGAGTTGCTATTTAAACTCTCCTTTATTACTTTTACACTCCCTCATATATTCTTTTTCTCTTTCATCACTCTCTTTCCGAAGAAACACCCTCGTTCACCGTTAAGTTATTTTTCTTATTTGAAATTGCAACGCATGGAAGATGAAATAATAGGATATTGTTGAATTAGGGTTATGCCTATGCAAGGAAGAAAGGATTTTTTATTCAAATTCAATTTGAATGAAATTTTAGGAGTGCAGTTGATGTTAATTAAAAAATGCAGAGGGAAACAAGTTTTGAAACGCAAGACATAGTCACAGGTATTGCAAAAGGGAGTATATTTTCTAGACATTTTAGAAAAATAAAAATAAAGAAGGGAATGTACTAGTAATAACCCTTGACATATGGGCATATATTCTCCTACGTCCAACTCAATAAACCTTTTTCGGACTATACAAATTTTGCATGTGTACCGAAAGCAGTTAAGTAGCCAGCGTAATGAACTTTTTTCTGATATGCAAACTTTACTTTCTACAATGACAAGATTTTTATTCAACACTTGACAGTAGATAAATCTTGTTATGATTATCATCACTTTACATATCTTATATTCAGTACTTATATTCGTTACTTCCAATCCACTCAAAATAATGACTCGACATCAAAGATCGACTCTATGCTTCAGGAACAATAATGCTTATGCAGAATTGCAAATTTTACTCTACAACTTAATTGACGACTTAACCACGTGAACAGATACTTGGATCTCCATAAACAATAAAACTTTAAAGCAAAGCAATGGATAATGTGTGAAGACTAGAAGGCACAATTCTCAAAATCTCTTTCTACAAATTATAAATAGTTCTCCAAAAAAATGTTGCTCGCACTCCCAACAAGAGCAATATTCCTTCCTTTGTCAGTCATTGTGAGCAGGACTGGTTGCTTCAGTTCACACATACTCAACGTGTATCACTTTCTATCAGAATGTCCAGAATAGCATGCACAAAGGAGTGGATCTGCAACAAATGGATCAAGAAATATACCTGTTGGAGTATTGGGTGACTAGGTATTCTGTACAGAGTCCCCTTATAGTTAGTATAGTTGACAGACAGCACACGGAAAGAATGTTTAGACTAACACGAGTTCCTCCTCTGTTGCTTCTAGTTCCTGTTTCTTTGGCACTCTTCCTTCCTGATATGGTCGTAATACCCGCCTGATTTCTTCTGCATTAAGTGTCTCATACTCTAATAATGCATTTGCCAGAGCATGCAATGCCTTCTCATGCTGAGAAAACGTCGGAAGTTATAGGCTTCAGAACTTATTCAGATGATAGCTAGACAATAGTAAGTCCCATGCATCGAATAATTTTGGTTGTTTACTTTGATTAATCAACACCGAAGAAAAAGTTACGTACATACAAAAGAAAAATTTATTACTTTATAATCTGTCATCCATCAATATATATATATATATATATAGTGTTAACAATGCATAAAATTTTTTTTACAACTGCCACATATTTCCTAGAAAAGTAGCTTTTTTTAGTTTCGGACACTAAATAACATGTTCTTTATTTTATTAAATAAATAACATGTTCCAGGTATTAGCACCTGTAAATTTATATTAAATCTTGATATAAAGAAAATGAATATTTTTAACCAGGATAACAGATTATCTTGAAAGCGATAGAAATGACAGATTAAACAAACAAAACTAGATGACATACCTTTCTTAGAAGGGTTTTCACTCGATCATATGCTTCCCTAAGAAGCTTCACAACCTGCAGAAAAAGAAATTCAAATCATAAACCAGATTTTTTTATAAAAAATAATAATTACTTACAAGAGAAAATAAAATAACCCAAACATGACTAACTATCCACTATCAAAAGATTCAAAATGATATAAAGGATATAGGCTCAATCCACTTGCCTCTGCATCAATACGGGACTGCATTTCAGAACTTGGTCTATCCTTTATATGAATTGGCCCTATTGCATCACTCATCCCACAAATTGACACCTTGTGCAGAAACAAAAATGACAACAGAATCATTCCCTTAAAATCAAGATAGGTTCTATCTAGTTGATAATTTCAGTCAGAGGAAAGTTCTAAGTCCTTTGTTACTATTCCTTGTGAAACGTTCCAAGTAATTACAGTGAAAGAAATATACGAGCACAGAAATTTGTATAGCTTCCATGGCCAAAAATAAAGCCTATTTCCACAGATGAAGAAATTGCATTTGTCCATTAATGATGAAGCAAAAAATTACCATATATTGGGCAAGCTCAGTAGCTGTGTGAAGATCACTACTTGCCCCTGTTGTGATTTGATCCTGACCGAAGATAATTTCTTCTGCAACTCTTCCTCCCATACAAACATCAAGGCGAGCAAGTAACTGCTTCTTGCTGATTGATGTCTCATCACCAGAGGGAAGCTGAGTGACCATTCCTAAAGCAGATCCACGAGGCATGATTGTTGCCTTGTGAATTGGTTGAGCACCCTCAGTGTTAATGGCAACAATTGCATGACCGCTCTCATGATAAGCAGTAAGCTGAAAGTTTCACAAGTAATATTAATTTGGATAACTGTACATCAACAAATAGTTAAATACAAAATATTTAATTAATTTTAAACAAAAGGTAATAAAAATTTATAAATCACTACTTCATAAGCTGATTTTGAAGTTTGGGCATTAAAAATCAGGTTCAAATCATAACAATGAAAAATCTGATGATAAAATACAATCTTGTATTTCTATCATGCCAGATTGGTACCCTACAGAGAGAAGGCTATCGCATAAAGCAAGCATAAGGTGACTTTCGTATTACTGAATAAACAGTAGACTGAAATATGCTCCTAACCTATGATAAAGGAATAGGTTTTGAGCCATCAGTAGGTTACAAAATATGATCCAAGAAACAGTGACACTTTTGGAAGAGAATAAATTACCAATATATCCAACTCACCAGCTTGTAGATAGTTTCCCTGTACTGCAAATGGAGTGCCTCAAAGATGAGTTCTTGGGATTTTCCAATTTTAAGAGATTTTTAGGGTAATGGCTAGATATAGGCAAACATTCTTAGAACATAATTGATTTATACAGGGACAACCATGAACTTTTCAAATAATGTAGTACAACCATCCATTAATCATACATGTCACAGTCGAGAATTTCAAGTAATAAACCAGATACGGTACACTTACCTTTCTTGACTCTTCTGATATGGACATTGTTTTCCGTTCTGTACCCATAATTATTCTATCTTTGGCAAACTCCAACTGTGAAGCTGCTAATTTGTCTGCACCTTCTACAGCAGCTTTAATGGCAGCAATGTTTACCAGGTTTGCAAGATCTAGTTTAAAGGAATAATTATGGAACAGAACACGTAAATGAAATTTGAAAGAGAAAAGAAGGAGGTTATTTCACATATGTTTAAAATTATTCACCTGCCCCATTGAATCCTGGGGTTCCACGAGCAATTGATTTAGTATCTACATCATCAGACAATGGTTTATCTTGAAGGTAAAGCTCCAATATTTCTTGTCGACCACGTAAATCTGGATTTGGTACAGTAATCTGGAATTGGGTTGGTTAGTTTCTTATATTCTCTATCAAAATTACATAGCATTCAGGACATTAGTTTGATATAATTTTTAAGATAGGTCCAAGTAGACAGATCACTGTAATTATATTGAAAGATTAAGGGTAAATGATGTTTTTGTCCTTATATTCTTAAACTGGTGATTTGAGTTCTCCAGTTTCTGAAATACAACGAAAGTAGTTAGTCTACTTGCTGAAGCGTATCAATGACCACATGGAAATTTGTACAATGTGAATGTCATATTGGTCTTGGTCCCTATATTTTAATACCAGTGGTTTGAGTAGACAATCAATCCCAAATAGAAGTGAAGTGTCAAAACCTCTAACGGATCCTTCTTGCCTCTTGATACCTTTCAATACATCATGTAACTAAACCTCAACAAAATTTGCTAATATTAGGGATAAGGCCTCAAATTTCTTTGGGATTGACATATTCCTAGGCAGACCTTTTTGCATACAACCTTCAAAAAACCTCAAAGATATCAAGACGATACATTCAGTATCCAAGTCAAGCTTACGATTCTTCACTGAATGTCAAAGGATAACCGACCTTTAAAACCTTTTGAGATACTTTACCCCCTTGAATTCTTGGTATTATTAGTAAAATTTCATGAGGTTGTTTAATTAGAGTTCAAAATAATGGATCTCAATTAGTTACTAAAGGGTGTCAAGGAGCATGCATTAGAAGTGTAGACATTTGATTTGGTTTTGGGTTCATTCATCTGTTGAGTAGGCCATGTGACTGCCGCATATGATACATGTCATACACACTGTAGAGAAACTTCCTAACAGAGTTAGTAATAGGGATTAGTTTCATTGTATTTTAGAAATTGGAGAACTCAAACTATTGATTTTAAAAATAGAGACAAAGATCAATTTTATAGAGACCAAAAACACCATTTATCCAAAAAATTAAATAATTTCATGTTACTACAACAAAACACCACCCCTTTAGACTGGTACAGGGTCTATCGACAAAATGCTGTTTATTGTGATGGTGCGTATAAATTTATGTATTTTTTGGATAAAAGAATAAGTAATATTAGGCCATAGAAATAAAGATGCACAAGAATATGATACCCTCCTAAGTACACCAGGTCACTAGGTCGGGTAGAGTTTTAATTTTATCTACTTTCATAGGACCAACCTGAAAAGCCTGAGATATTTTTATGTAAATGAAACCTAAAAATTCTATGTTTAGTTGATAAGAGGTTAAGATTACTTAATCCCATAATAGAGACAACCAAACATTATTATCCTTGAGAGTTCCAGCACCAAACAAATAGTAAACCTACTATACCACCAGAGAAAATTAGGTTCATGCAGGGCCCTACATTTATCAAAGATTAAAAAAAGAAGCATATGATCCTTTGAAGTGTTCTCTTTTTGAAGGTTTGTTGTGTGAGCCAAATGCCCAAGTTTTAACTGATAATTCTTCCTTTCCACGTTTTTCTAGATACCATATGCATTTCCGCCATAGCTTTTCTAGCTAAGCTTTTTGTTTTCCTTTCTATCTCTTGCTTGTTTTCTTCTATTGTTCTAAAAGAATTCCTTATCCTCCATTTTCTCTTTGCATATTCTTTTATTGAGGGGAAAAATTAATTAATAGTACTTACATGTCGATCAAATCTACCAGGTCTCGTTAAAGCAGGATCAAGAATATCAGGCAGGTTTGTTGCAGCAATTACTATTATTCCCTACAAGATAAAGATGTTGAATAAATTAGGAAAAAACAGAGAAACTGATTAAACACCCACAAATGTTTAAAACTCCAAATATACTTCATTCTGCTCAAAGCCATCCATTTCAACTAGTAGTTGATGCAATGTCTTCTTTGTATGGCCTTCCCACTGTTTCCTAGTTGAACCAACAGCATCTATTTCATCAATGAAAATGATACAAGGAGCCTACATTAAGGATGGGGCGTAAAGAATGTTCCAAATCAGAAACAAATAAGGAAATCATGTAAAGAAGTAATTTAGCAAACCATAATAACAGACAGCTAAGAGTCCATTAACCAAAGGCAACAAACCTTCTTTTTTGCTGCTTGAAATAATGATCTTACTCGTCGAGCACCAACTCCAACATACCTGAAGTGGAAAAGTGATGGGAAATTAAGCATCCCTTACAACTAACATAGCATAACAACCCTTAATGTAACTATTAGGAATGGGTTGGGCCTAAAACATTTCAAAAGCTAGCTCAAAACCTCAAAAAGTGCATTCCATCATGCCCAAGGACATCCACAGGTGGCTCAATATCAAGACTAAATAGGTTTCGATAAAAACTATTGCAACCCAGCCAAGGGCTTAACTTAACCACAAAAGCTAGCTCAAGAGTTGGGGAATGGGAGGGAGGTGGGATTTTCCAAGTCGTTTTGGAGTATCTTGTACATAGTTGTTGCCAATGTGAGGCTTCTTAATAAAAGGTACAATCTATCACTTCACAACTTACAACAACCAGGAGGAAACTAAATTTTGCTTTTTTGCCAAGTGATCACATGGAAAAGTTATAAATTTAATTTACCATGATAGAGTGTCAAACCAAATAGATGTTCTCAAGCTCGCCAAAGTTGGCTACCCAACCTAATTTATATACTAGTGTACCCATTTCCAATTACAGTTTCCTCAGGTGCATCTCTTTCTCTCTCTACTCTCTCTTTTTCTACAATAAAAAATACCTAGCAAGAATCAATATTACAAAAGATAAAGAAACATAAACATGTAGTACTTGT